TCCCCGCCGCCTCCCCCGAGCGCCACCTTTCACCTCGGCGGCCGGTGTGCCCCCCCCCGCCTCCCCATCGCCTCTTCCCCCCCTACCGCCGCCTCCTTGGACCTTGCCATCCCCCCCGCCGCCGCCGCCTCCCCCGCCGCCTCCTCCCCCGCCCCCCTCTCTGTCACCGCCTCCGCCCTCGCCAACTCCTTCCACGCCGCCTCCCCTACCGCCTCCTCCCTCGCCCCCCCGGGCCCACTCTAACTCCGACCTCCACAGAGCAGATGCAGGTGTCTCCGAAACAAGTGGCTGACAATTTTCTCGGGTAGATGGGAGTACTAGAGGATAGGAGTGCAGGAATCGAGGGCAGGATGGAGGAGATGAGCATCACCCCTTCCCCGAACCCGCCGCAGCCACCCCCTCCGACGCAGCCGAGTCCGCGCCTGGACCAGCAGCTGTGAGGAAGTCTGTGCCCAAGCCAGTTGCTCGAATGCTGGCGGAACGTGGATTCCACTTGACTACTCGAGCAACCCGTACACATGCAAGATGAATGGACCCTGCAAGGACTCTGGGCAACAGTACTACCATCCCGGTGTTCCGGGGTATATGACAGGCTGCCCATGGGACGGAGGAGATTACGGGGTGAACATGGCGTACAACTGCGATAACTTTCAGGTGGTGCGCGAGAACTGTGCCAAGTCGTGCCGGCTCTGCGGCACAACGACCTGCAGCAACGACGCCATTGGCCAAGACCCGATCTTCGGCACGGTTAAGGCATGCTACTGCGTCGAATGACATGCCGGCCACAGACTCTGTTGCATGAAAGTGCGGTAAGGTTGGAGCAGAGCTCACCAAGCCCCCCGCCGCCGCTGCTGCCGCCGCCGCCGCCCGCGCCACCATAAGGCCGGGCCACCGACAGAAGAAGCATCCCCCCCCCCCCCCCTCCCGCCGGCTTGGTCGATGTAGTGTCGCCGGAAGCCGCGTGGGCCATGTGAGTGTCAGTTCCCTCCCCTCGGGTCGGATCCATTCGTCGCTGTGCATTAAAGCAAGGGCGCAACGGGTGTGATGGCGGCCCTTGCTCTGCAAAACTGCCTCGGAATATGTCTGTGGAGAGTTTAATTTCGTGTGACTGGACACCAACGCGGTATGGGTGGACGCTAGACCGCAAATGATGCCGCCGTGGCCCGTGCCCAGCGCGTCACACACACACACACACACACACACACACACACACACACACACACACACACACACACACACACACACACACACACACACACACACACACACACTCACACTCACACACACACAACGCGGCCAAAGGATATCCACCTCGAGAACCTCGAGAACACCCAGCGTCGTGCGAGAAAAGAAAACCGACGGGAAGGAGATAAATTCGCCGGGGCATCCGCGGGGAGTAGGCGAGGTTCTCGCGTGCGGCTTCACAGCAACAAACCGGTTGGAAAGGATGAAGGTCGTCCCTTGCCCGCTCTTCACCTCCATCTCGAGCTGCACGTTGAAGCGGCCGCTCTCGTTCCGGTCGCTGATTTTTCCATACGTGCCATTGAGCTCTGGCCGTGACAGTACAGTTGTAGTCAAAGACTTAGCCCCACCACCTCGTGTGTGTGGAGAAGTCTACCTTACCTTACCTTACCTTTTCCCGGGAGTGTGTCGCATGTCGTGATTCTTCGTTGTAAAAATTCTTTTCAGTTTTCTGATTCTCCCGACGGACGGTTGATTATGAGAGCCACTGTGTGAGAGGAAGAATATACAATACGCACGTACACTACAGCTACGACACTCTCAGTCCTCGACATCGTACACCGTCTGGAATAAATACTCGCGCCGGGCCCACGCCCATTCGCCCGGCGGACCACTGCCGCCGCCACCGCCGCCACCGCCGCCGCCACCGCCGCCGCCGAAATGCCACGGCGAAGCAGCCGCACCCGCGGCGGCGTCTGATCCCGATGGCAGTGCGGCGGCCAGCATCGCCTCGCACCGCCGCCTGTAGCTAGGCCGCCACCGCTCGGCCGGCCGCCCACCACGCGCCTGCAGGAAGGGTCCGAGAAGGCTCAGGGGGGGGACGGGGGCGGCGAGGCCGGCGCCGCTTCGCCGGAGGTCACACACACACACACACACACACACACACACACACACACACACACACACACACACACACACACACACACACACACACACACACACACACACACACACACACACACACACACACACACACACACACACACACACACACACACACACACACACACACACACACACACACACACACACACACACACACACACACACACACACACACACACACACACACACACACACCGCACGCACGCACACCGCCCACCCATGTACACAGGCCTTTCACTTTGAATGCCGTGGGGCTCCTGTCGTTTAGACGTGGAGTCGCGAGTCTTGCCCCCCCCCCCCGCCCCCTCCCTCTGCAGCGGGCGCCTCCCTACCTCGGCGCATCTCAGCGGATCTCAGCTACTCTCCGCCTCGCCATGCAGCACCAGATGCAGCAGCGCGTCCATCTGCCGCCGCCGCTCAAAATCGAAGCCGCCGCAGCCGCCCTCGCCGCCGCACCCCCACTTCGTCGTTGCGGCGGCCGCCAAGCGCCTCCAGTGCGCGGCGTGCCTGCAGGAAGCTTCCGAGAAGGCTCACGGAAAGCTCCCATCGCCCGCGAGGCGCCTCCAACGAGTGGCGTGCTCGCTGCGCGCTCGGCCGGAGGGGTACACGGGCAGGAAGCACCCGGCGGCAACGCCTACAAGACAGTTCCGAGCAAGTTGGTGGACAGTTCAAGGGTACAGCGGCAGGCAAGCATCCGGCGGCGCCCTCTCGCACCGCCTCGAGCAAGTAGGAGAGGGCGTCGGCGGCCAAGCCGCCGCCGGGGGCGAGCAGCCGCGGGAAGGCGACGACCCGCCCGGCGAGCGGCGTGAGCAGTCTCGCGAGCGTCGCTGCGGCGGACCGGTCGGCGTAGACGACGCTCACGGCGTTGTACGCGGCGGCTCGCTTGGCGTGGTCATACGAGAAGGAGCCTCCCCAGCAGCCGTCGCCCGCCGCTCCGGTGTCGGTGCTCGCGGGAGCTGCGCTAGCCGCGGCAGCCGCGCAACCGGATTGGGAGAGGGTGAGGTCAGGCTGGACATTCACCTCGATGACGCGGAACTCCCCTCCGCGGTCAGCGATCAGGTCGACTCCGAAGATGTGGTAGCACGAGGCGCACCCCAACGCGCCGCCACCGCCGGCCAGCCTCGAGCCACCAGACTGTCCCGTCCCCGCGCCTGCGCGCCTCTGCCGCATGCGCGCCTCATCCGACGGGGAGGCAACGGGGAGGTGCGGGTGAGCTCGTCTCTCGGTGGTCTCGCGTAGCCTTGTGTAGCCTCGGTTGTCTCGGGCAATCTCGGGCGATCTCGGGCGATCTCGACTAGATCTCGACTAGATCTCGACTAGATCTCGCCTCGTAGAAGCGTGAGAACTGCGGCTCCGCGGAGAGAAAGAGCGCGCCGACGACGCGCCGCATCGCGCCCAGCATGGAGGCGTGCCCGCGGAAGAGCGGCCCGCCTCCGCCTCCGCCGCCCTCTCCGCCGCCCCCTCCGCCTCCGCCTTCGCCCTCCCCACCACCTCGCTGGGCGCGCGCGCTAAAGTGGTCACCGAGCGCGGCGAAGGTGCCCGTGATGGGAGCGATGCCACGGTGCAGCGTTTCCTTCCCAACGTGCGTGTTGGTGAGGTACGCTGCGCGACCGGAGGAACCGTACGCGGCGGCGGCATAGCGCACGACGCCCTCCGTGAAGAGGTACAGCCGCATCGGCAGCGCCGACGTGCAGAGGACGTAGGTGCGCAAGTCCCACTTGCGGCCGTCGTGAAGCAGGGGCTCGGAGAGGTAGGGCGATACGACCGCACGGCCGGGAGGGAAGGAGCCGCCGTAGGAGAGCGCGACGGCCTCCCCGCGCATCGCTGCGAGCAGCTCCGATGCGTTTGCGATGGCAATGCCGTGCCCCACCGATCCGCGGGCTGGCTTGACGATCCACAACCCGCGCCGCCACGGGAACGCCTCTCTGCGCCGCCAGCCGGCCTGGGCTTGCCCCACGTCGACCCCACCGCCCAATGCATCGCCTGAATCTCCGCCTCCATTGCCACCATTGCCTCCTCCATTGCCTCCTCCCGCATCGCCTTGAGGCGCGTGCGGCTCGACACCTCCTCGCACCGCATCGCTCGACTGCACCGAACTGTCGACACCCCTTCGCAGCGCGTCGCGCAAGCGGCGTCGGTCCTCGGGCAGGCTCCAGCATGGAAAAGTGAAGCGCGACGTCTCCGCCGCCGACAGGCCCGAGGCGCGGAGGGTGGCGCAGAGGCCATCCTTGGCGGTGAGCACCTGCCGGACGACGTCGCATCACGGGGTGAGTTTGTGTGTCTGCTTTTCGCTCCAGCGTGCGTCGACCCCTGTCTAGCGTCCACCCAGACCGCACCACCTCTCTATCTACGTCGCGTACGCGCTCCACGACGATGGCTCGGGGTGCGGGTGGGATTTCCCTGCGGCTTCTTCTAGGCACGACCCAACGTAGAGGCCGTTGTGTAGCGCTGTCTTGGGCTACCACAAACGCACCTGCCGCGCGCCTGGCAGGCGGTTGATCTTGACCGACGGCTCGACGGCGCCTACAAGAAAGTTCCGAGTAGGTTCGTGGAAATCAGGGTGTAGCCATCTTGACCGACGGCTCGACGGCGCCAAAGATGCGGCGCGCCGCCTCGGACGGGTCCGTCGCGTTGGCGGCCTGCGGCGCGAACAAACCAGAGTCAGGGCGGGAGGGGGGTATCGAGCCGTGCCGGAGTACATGAGTGCGCATCCCCCGATCTAAGGCTGGCAGCCTCCGCGCCGCCCGCGGCGTCCGGATACCCCTTGAAGCAGTGGCTGGCGAGAACAGAGTGGCAGAGCACGGCCGCGACACTCTCTAGCCGCCTCGGCGCCGCCACAGGGCCGTAGTGCAGCCCAGACCCCGGCTCAGAGCGCAGCAGCAGTGGCGTCGGCAGGTGCATCGCCGCAAAGCCTCGAGAGGCAAAGGCGGCGCGGTAGACGTTGAAGTCGCGGCGCACCTTGAGGCCGACCACGACGACGCGTCGAGTCGAGTTCCAGACCTAGCGTCAGGAGCACCACCAACGTCGCGGCGCGAAGACGGTGCCGTGCGGTGTCTCCATCTATGGCTTACTGCCGTGTCCTCTCGAGAGCGAGCTGGATACGGAGCTGCTTCCGCATCTAGGGTTTCAGACCGCCGAATGCTCGAGCTCGAGCGCCCGGAGCGACGCCGCCACCGACCAGTCAGGACCCGCCAGCAGCCGCGACGGCGCTGGCTCGAATGCCGCCCGCGCCGGTGTCTCAATGCAGCGAAAGTCGCAAACCGGCTCGCAGCCCGTCACGGAGTCGGCGGGGCTGTGCCTGGGCAACGAGGTTGTGCCCGGCCCGCATGCCATGCACTTGGCCATGGGACAGCACGCCGGGGCGCATCGGTCCGGAAGCCTCGCCCAGGAGGCTGGCGCCTGGCGGGGTGGCGGTGCAGCGGAGAGCGGCTGGCGGAAGAGGCATACGACAGCGATAGCGGTGGCTATAATCACTGCCAGGCGCAAGAGCAGCGCCTCGCCCATCTGCGATGAAGCAAGTGTTAAAAAAAAACAATTCCGAGATCTCGAAGAATTTCTCGGGAGCAGAATTCTTAAACGACAAGCCTTGGCACGACAAGGGCGCGGACTGGCGCGGACTGGCACACACACCGGCTCACCACCGGAGCCGCCTAAGCGACTCCGTTAAGAACGGCAATGCACTCCATGCACAATGCCGCTCTCCCCGCACAGACGATGACAGACTCTACTCGCTCTCCACAGTAACCACACACCGTATTTATTCCAGACTGAACGGCCTCCTTCTCACCCTCAAGGCTGTGGGCACCACTCAGACCTCGAGCCTATCGCGCAGGCCCGTGCAGCCGTGGGGTGTTGCATAGGCGGGGAGTCTCCCCCGCTGGTCTCCTCCTTCCCATTTTTTCTTTTCTTTTGAGAGCAGGACGCCGGGTTTGTCTTGTATGTGCGTGTCGGGCCTGGGTGTGTGCGAGGGGCAGAAGCGAGAAGGGGCGGGGGCGTGCGGGGCAGAGGCCCATAACGTCGAGCGGCTTGTCGGGGTCCAGAGAGTTCGAGGCGGGCGGGAACGAGGAGGGGGGAATGGGGTCGGGGTAGAGTGTAGGGGTCACTCCCGGAAAGTGAGAAACGCCGGGCAGCGTGACGCACAACTGAACCCTCCCATACGTGTTGGGCTCCTCCTTCGCTGTCCCATCCCCTCGTCTCTTTCCCGCCTGGGCGGGGCAGCGGGCGGGCGCGCGGTGCGGCGCGGCGTGTGCGTGTGTGCGACTGCAACAAAGGACCGCTTGCAAGGGACCATTGGTTTGTACTATTAACAACGAAGGCGCTCTCAAAAAAAATAAAGAGGTGGCAAAACGACGCGCGGTCAAGGTGTAGAAGTTGTCGTGTCGCCGGGTGCTTCCACGAGCGCTCCGTCCATCCACCGTCTTGCCCCGCGGGCACAGGCCGGGCTTGCCGTCGCCGCGGCCCTAGGAGTGCCGCCGCTGCCGCGCCACACAGGACCTACGAGCCGCCTCGCTCTCTCGGGCCGGGCTGCATAGCCCCGCGCACACTGCCGCCGCGCCGCCGCCACGATGCCAAAGCTGGGAGAGTCGAGCCGGCGGGATCAGACTCTTCGCGCGTTCTGCCTGGTGCTGATCGTGGTACAGAACTCGTCGCTGATCCTCGTGACGAGCTACTCGCGCACGCTCCGGCCCGCGTACCTCCCGACCGTCGCCGTCTTTTACGCCGAGTGCCTAAAGTTCGCGGCGGCGGTGCTGCTGCTCGCGGCGGAGGAGAGCTCGCTGCGGAGAGCGGTGTCGCTGGTCGCCGCGCTGCCCTTCGAGCACGGCTCGACGACGCTCCTCTTCGCCGTCCCCGCCCTCTGCTACACCCTCCAGAACAACCTCTGGTACTATGCGCTGTCACACCTCGACCCCGTCACGGCGGCGGTCACCTCGCAGATGAAGGTCATCACGACGGCGGTCGCGACCGTGCTCATGCTTGACCGGCGGCTCAACCTGCCGCAGTGGGGCGCCCTGCTCGTTCTCACGCTCGGCCTAGTTGTGATGCAGCTGCAGGACAAGACCGGCGGAAACGGCAGCCAGGACCGCAACTCGCTCTCGGGCGCCGGGGCGATGCTGCTTGCGACGATGCTCTCGGCCTACTCGGGCGTCTTTCTGGAGAAGCTCTTCAAGTCGCTCCCGCTCACGCTCTGGCTGCAGTCCATACAGCTCTCGCTCTTCGCGCTGCCGACCGCCTGGGTCAGCCTGCCTCTTAGAAGTGCCTCTTAGAAGCGGACCCGTGTTCCTGCCTTCCAACCAGTGCTTTCGGCCGTCGGTATGGAGAGGACATGCACCTGTGTACTCCTGCTGCCTTCCGCTGCATGCTGTACTCACTGCGCGTCTCTCCCTCGTGCCACGAGTGCTCTACCTCCTCCCCGCCCTTCCCGCCCTCGCCTCGGCCCATCCCGTGGCACAGGCCACCATGGCTGTGTGTGACTGCAACTCACCCTCACCCTCACCCTCACCCTCACCCTCACCCTCACCCTCACCCTCACCCTCACCCTCACCCTCACCCTCACCCTCACCCTCACCCTCACCCTCACCCTCACCCTCACCCTCACCCTCACCCTCACCCTCACCCTAGGTCACCATGGTTGTGTACGACTACAGCCACCTCCGGCGAGGGAACCTGATGGTCGGGTTCAACATGGTCGTGTGGGTGGCGGTGGCACTCAACGCGCTCGGCGGCGTCGCCGTCTCGATGGCGCTCAAGTTTGCGGACAACATCCTCAAGACTTTCGCCGTCGGAATCTCGATTGTGCTCAACGCCGTGGCCTCGGCCCTCCTCTTCGACGTGCCGGTCACGGCGCGCGTCATCGTCGGTGTCAACATGGTCGTCCTCTCGACGCTGCTCTTCAACCTGGCGTCGCCCGGCAGTCCGCTCGCCGACCGCATCGCGAGAGCGTGCGGGAAGCGGACAGGGCGCGACCCAGGAGTGGCGCCGGTGCGAGCCATCGCGAGCGAAGGCACGGCGCTGCTCAAGGTGCCCGAGAGACGGGGAGAGACGGGGAGAGACGGGGAGAGACGGGGAGAGACGGGGAGAGACGGGGAGAGACGCGGGAGAGACGGGGGAGAGACGGGGGAGAGACGGGGAGAGAAGGCACACCGCTCAAGGGCCGCTCAAGGGAGCGTGTGCGGCGAGGGGGCGCTCTTGGGCCCGAGATGGGCTGAGACCACCCGAGACACGCCCGAGTCGTTGTGTTCGCATTTGATGCAGGTGACGTCCGGCGAGGAGTCCCTTTCGGACCCCGAGTCGCAGACGCCCTCGTCGATCCACTCCCTCGCCGCAAGCCGCGGCAGCCGCAGCCCGCGCACGCCCGCGCGCGCCGTGTCGGACCCGGCGCCGCAGCTGGGTAAATGGCGATCTGCGGAGGAGTCGCTAGGGGCAGGGTTCGAGGAGACGGGCGGGTGCGGTGTGGCGGCCGCTGGCACCGCGGCCACCGCCGAGCAGCAGACGTGGCTCCGCCGCGGTCCGAGCCCCAGTCACGACTCGCCGACCGGCGGGTCATGACGCCCGCAGTGACAGCTAACACACACACACCCACACACAGTGCAAACTGGCCAGCGCGCAGTCTCATCGCGCCTACCTATTCGTGCTCTCTTTGCACAGCGTCGCGGTTTTCCGCTAGGGCGTATAGCCTCTACGTGAACACCGTCCACGTTTCGACCAACGAAAAAGTCTATAACGGATAGCCCCATGTGTCCTTTTAAAAAGATTTTTGTCCTAACTAAAAGGACAGGTTCATGAAGGGCGCCACGCGCCCCCGCTCGCCGGCCCAGTCGTACCTCCCGCACTCCACTTGCCCTTCGCGACTTCCCCGTGCCCGGTGGTGCCGGGGGACGACAGTCGTGGCCTTGTTTTGGACGTTACGTGCCGCCGAAACTTGATCACCGATCACCGTCTGAATAAGTAAATTCTAGAAAACTCTCCAAAGGCCGGTGATCGGTGATCAGTGACCAGCCGGTGATCATGCAGCTAGTGGGTGGTGCCCCGGCCGACGTGAGCGTCATCAACCCGCCCGCAACTACCACCTGACGTACGCCGCACTCGGCCGCGGCGAGCTCTTGAATGAAGGCGTGCTGAGCCAGCTCACCGCCAAGCGAGCGCATCAAATGCCGCTCGCTACAACAATGGCACCCTCCCGCAGTACATGCCACGCATCTTCACCACCAACAGCCAGCTGACAGAGGAGGACCACATCCTTCCCCGAAGGCGCAACGCCAAGCAGCAGCAGTTGATCGCCGCTACCGCAAGATTGGTCCGCTGACAGAGCCGCTGCAGCGACTTTCGGATGCGACTAGCGGGGGGTGCGGCCCGAGGTTACTGCACGCCGGGCACCTCGACGAGTCGTACGCGACCACGGCACCCATGCACCACGTCGAGGCGCAACGTGTCTCCACGCGCTCGGTCTGCGCGGCACCGCTCGCCCTCTCCGCGAACGAGCGCTCGCTCGTTTCGCTCTCGGAGACGGCCGACGACCTCTCCGCCCTCGACCTGCCGCCCCTCTCGGCGTTCGCGTCGTCCGAGGTGCATTGAGTAGTCCGCCGCCCGGCCGAGGAGTGAGCCGTGGTGGAGGTCGCCTGCTTCTTCGCTTCCTCCTCCGCCCGCCCTCCGCGACCCGTAGTCTGCTGCTGCGGTTTGCTCCTCGACGCAAGCTTTCCCCGCACGCTGGGGAGGCATCGTAGAGACGTAGGCCCGCTTTGCTGCTGCCAGCTCCAGAGCCACTTGGAGCTGTCAGCCTGCACCTATTTATTGCCGATGGATCGCCGATTTGCCATGATTGAGTGACTGGTCGTGTGTTGCGGCGTGTTTGCTTGTGCGCACTCCCGGGGCGGGGCAGTCCTCGGTCGCGCACCGGCGGCGTGACGCGAAGCCGCGACCCGCCACTCGAGTTCCTTCGGTATCTACCTTTTCCCGCGCTCGTCTATTTGTGTGACAGTTGACTGCGAGCGCCGAGGCACCAGCGAGGGCGCGGAGAGCTACGGACTCTCGAGGATTGCCGCGAGCGCGAGGGCAGGCTGCGTGGACACGTCTCTCCTGTACGTGGACTCTCTCTCTGTACGTGTATGTTTTTTCAAAAAGAAAACTTCCGCAGCTTACTACCAGGGGAAAAGCTCGCTCTCAATGACGGCAATGATTCCCGCTTTACCCATCGAGGTGACTTCCGTTTTATTCATTACGCTGCCACGCCGTCGCGCGGGCCTCGGGGACGACAAGAAGTTTGAATGGCTTCAACTCCATCTCACGAGAGGCCATCTTTGCTGGCCTGCGTCGCTGGTACCCTCCGGGCTCATCCCCATGGTGGCGCTGTGGTACAAGGAAGGTGTCCCGCGCCGCCTCTTCCTCTTCAACGAGGAGGCCCGCGAGGCGGCGACGGCAACCGGTCTTCATGTCCCGGTCGTGGGGCATAGCTCGGGTGTAAACGGGGTCTGGGCCTCCGATTTTTTTTGGCGTTTTTTGCTCAAAATTGAGATATTTCTCATCAAATTCTCATCAAAATCGAGCTCGCTACGAGCTCTCTAACTGCACAGCATCTCCTCGTTGAGCCTAGCGGCGCCCGTATCGCCCACGTCCACATTCTTCTTCTTCTTCTTGCCCTTCTTGCTCTTGGCCCTTGCTGCACTTAGCCGCTCAACCTCCGCCAGCAGCAGCTCCTTGGCATGCCGCGCCGCCTCCATCTACTTTGCCTCCCACGCTGCCGCTTCCTCTAAAGCAGCGCCGCCACTGCGGGGCAACCAGTTTTCGCATTGTTTGAGCACGTGTCCTGCTTGGCGCGGCGCACAATCCGCGCGCGCCGAGTGAGGTGCGTGAGAGCAGAAGACTGACAGCAGGAGCTGCAGGAGCTGCGCAGGTCGGATGGGCGGTGACGCCGTCGAGCGACGGCGCAAAGGCCAATCGCTGCTGCTGCGCCAACGAGCGGCGACACGAGGCTGCTGGCAGCTGGCAGAGCGAATCGCGATTTGGCGGCTGCCGTCAGCCCGCCGACACCGACGGCCTGGCTGAGGTCAAACTCCTCCACACGTCGGACCAGCCATGCGTCGGCCACGGCGACGAGACGTCTGCGTGCAAACAGCCCACCACCCGGACGATTGAACATGCCAGCTGGGCTCTACCAGGGCTCTCGTGGCCCGTGGCGCGAACCCCAGGTAACAGGCGCGCATAAACTATTCACAGCCTGTTATTGAGAAGAAAATACCTCCTATTCACAGCTAATGAAAACTATTTAAACTCGCGGCTTCATCAAAGTGTGAGGTGTCTTCGTCCTCAGGACCATCAAGACAAGACAGCTCTATTCACACCCTATTTGGTTTGAAGACACTCGGGGATGCTTAAAGAAAGAAAGAAAACGGACGACCCAAGGGAGGGATGGGAGGACGGCACGCCGCCACCACACAGGGATTTTAAGGGGATGCTTGTTACCACCCAATGCCCCGACCGAATTCTTTTTCTCGCGATCATGTCTGCCCCGCTCGCGCCCACCACCGCTCCCCCGCCAGACACGCCGCCACCCACCCACTTCCTTGACCTCCCCACGGACCTCCTCGTGCGCGTCGTCTCTCGCTGCGACCCCGCCGACATCGCTCGTGTCGCGGCCGTCTCGCTGCTCTTCCACGCCTCGCTTGCGGTGGAGAGCATCCGCTTGCGGGCGCAAGAGCGCGGCTTCGAGCTGCCGGCGCAGCCAGAGGGCGAGAGCTGCGCCGTGCGGTGGCTGTGCGTTGCTGCGCTGCTGTGCGAGTCCAACCCGCCGGCGAGGGCGGCAGCAGGCGAGCGGCACAGCGTCTTCATCGATGGCGAGGGGCGGCTCTCGTCGTGCGGCTTTGCGCCGTCCTACTCTCCAGCCCTGCTCGGCCACGGCGAGGGCGTGACGCGGCTCAACGCGCCGACGCGCCTCCCTTCTCCGCTGGGCGGCGAGCGCGCCGTGAGCGTGTCGGCTGGAGCATACCACAGCCTCGCCCTCACCACCGACGGAGCCGTCTGGAGCTGGGGAAGTGGACGCCAAGGCCGCTTGGGCCACGGCGACGAGCAGGCCCAGCTGCTGCCGAAGAAGATCGAAGCCTTTGCTGGCCAGCGCGTTGCTGCCGCGTCGGCTGGAGACATGCACAGCCTCGCCCTCGCCGCTGACGGCAGCATGTGGAGCTGGGGCGGTGGAACCTTTGGCCGGCTGGGCCACGGCGACGAGCAGAACCAGCCGCTGCCCAAGAAGGTCGAGGCCTTTGCTGGCCAGCGCGTCGTCGCTGTGTCGGCGGGAGCCAACCACAGCCTCGCCATCACCGCCGACGGCGCCGTCTGGAGCTGGGGCGGTGGAGGCTCTGGCAAGCTGGGCCACGGCGACGAGCAGCGCCAGCTGCTCCCCAAGAAGATCGAGGCCTTTGCTGGCCAGCGCATTATCGCTGTGTCGGCTGGGCTGCACCACAGCCTCGCCATCACTGCCGACGGCGCCGTCTGGAGCTGGGGCTACGGTCTCTTCGGCCGATTGGGCCACGGCGACGAGCAGCAGCAGCTGCTGCCGAAGAAGGTCGAGACGCTGGAAGGGCGGCGCGTCGTCGCCGTGTCGGCGGGAAACGACCGCAGCATCGCCCTCACCGCCGACGGCGCCACCTTCACCTGGGGCATGGGTGAAAGCGGCATTCTAGGCCACGGAGAGGACCTTTCCAACCAGCTGCTGCCCAAGCAGGTCGAGGCGTGGGCGCCGGGGCAGTGATGAGAAGGCGAAAGGGTGCGAGGCTCTGTATTGCACTTGTTGCGAGACCCGGTTAAACGTAGTCCTATTTCTTTAGACGGTGAACGAGCTAGCGTGCGGGGACAGCGGCATTGTGCACGGTGCTAAGTGCATTGCCGTTCTTAACGGAGTCGCTTAGGCGGCTCCGGTGGTGTGCCGGTGACAGTACTAGCACACGCCAGTTCGCACCTGTGTCGAGCCTGTCTGCTGTGAGAGAGAGTTTTTTTTAAATTCTTTTTCCGGGCGTTTTAAATTCTTTTCATTGTAAAATTCTTTTCCTTGCCAGATGCCGCGATCGCTTCTCCACCGCGATCACTGGAGCCCGGGCAGGCATGATTCACCTATGGCTTGCCACGTCCGCCTTCTACTCCGCTGCCCCTCTCCCGGCCTGCCGGTCGCCTCGCATCCGCGTAGTCCGGCTCGACCACGGCGACATCGAGGTGCTCTCGTGGCGCGAGTTGCAGCGCGCTTGCGTCGCCGAGGGCCTGCCTGCGCGAGGCAAGGCGGTGGAGCTGAGAGAGCGGCTGCGGCAGGTGGAGGCGCTCCGCCGGGACAGCCGCACGATGCGCGACCGCGAGGAGCGGCGCGAGCGCGACCGCTTCGACGCCGCGGCCGGCGCCATCGAGGTGCTGCAGCAGGAGGCGAGGGCCGAGCAGGCGCAGCTCGCCGCGGAGCTGCGGCAGCTGGAGGAGGCTCCGGAGGAGGAGCCGCCGCCGCGGGCCGAGCTGCGCTCCGACGCCGCCGCGCGACGCTTTGAGGACCTCAAAGCGCGCGGCGAGGCTGAGGTGCGCAGGCGAGAGCAGCGGAGGAGGCTGTTGTCCGAAGGCGGTGCGCGGGTGTCTCAGGGCGCGGAACGGCGGCGGAGGCTCTCCGCGGGCACGGCGGCGAGGCCGGAGGAGGCGGGCGGGGTAGAGGAGGAGGCGGTCGGAGGGCGGGATCGCCTGCTGCCCGCCGAAGCGACGGAGGAGGAGGTGTCGGCGGCGCAGACTCTTTCTCCGGCGGTCGGCTCGGCGGGCGGCCTCGCCGACGGTACGACTGGCGGCGTCTATGCGAGCTGGCCGCGGCAGCGACACGTGCACGACCCGTCCCGCGATGTGCCCGCAGGTCTGCTTGCTACACGGCTATTGACACGCGCATGCCTGCTCCTTGCCACGCGCCATGACTGCTCCGTGCCACGTGCCGCCCTCTCTCTCTCTCTCTCTCTCTCTCTCTCTCTCTCTCTCTCTCCCTCTAGCCCTCCCTAGCGCAGGCGCACCAGGCGTGGTTAGCTGCTTGGTCAACGCCTCCAACTCGCTGCCGCGGTACTGTGAACAATACGAGTCCGTCTGGGCGGCAGCCGCCGCAAACTCTGCCGCACAGCCAAGCCCGCGGATGCTAAACACTCGCATCGCGAGCGCACCCAGCGCGCGCGAGGTGTGCCGCGAGATCACCCGAGATTCCCCGAGGCTCCCCGAGGCTCTCCGAGATCAGCCAGTGCGCGCGAGGTGCGCGCCGCCGCCGCACGAGGAGCGGACCCTTCCCCGACCCTTCTCGGACCCTTCTCGGACCCTTCTCGGACCCTTCCCCGACCCTTGTCGGAACCCTTCTCGGACCCTTCCCAGACCCTTCTCGGACCCTTCTCGGAACCTTGTCGGAACCTTCTCGGACCCTTCTCGGACCCTTCTCGGCGCGGTCGCAGGTGCTGCGGCTGCACGCGGAGTTTGGGTCGACCTTCAACGAGGAGGGCGTCGTGGCGTACTGCCACTCTCATGATCACTCTTCTTCTAACCACTTTGAATGTGACTCATGTTAAGGCGCGCGGCCGCTCGCACGCAGTGTTCACAGCTCCGTTCTGGCGGCCCAGGTTTCGTATTGTTGCAGGTGCACCTCTCCACGTCCTGGCGACGACTCAGCCGCCTCGCCACCGCCCCCGAGCGGCGCCCTCGCTCAGCGGGAGCCAGCGGCTTGCGAGGCGTCTTCTTCTCTCAGTCACAGCCTTCAATGACAATAGGCGCCTCTTACAGTGAGATATGGGGAGAGATGGGGGAGAGATGGGATACAGCTCTCTGTGACAGTAGGCGCCTCTTTCAGCGAGAGCCAGCTCTGCTCGCGCCGCTGCGGCTGCAGACCACGGGTTCGCTGCTGCTGCTGCGGCGGCGGTGGGGCGCGCGCGCGGTGGCGAGCACCGCCCACTCCCTCGCCTTGCTCAGCGATGCGATCGGAATGGTGGCTGCTATGAGGAGAGTTGCACACACACACACTGTAGGCGAGCACCGCCCACTCGCTCGCCAAGCTGAGTCTGCACGGCGAGTCGTGGGAGGAGCTGCGAACAGGGAGCTGTGAACAGGAGCTGTGAATAGGGAGCTGTGAATAGGCGAGTCGTGGGAGGAGCTGTGGCGCGGGATCACGCTCGCCATCCCGCCGCTGCTAAGCAGCTTCACGGCCCAGGCGCCCGCGCGAGCACCGCGTGGGCGCGACTTGGTTCATGGAATGAGAAGCGTCGCCACTGCACTTCCTTCCACGCTCAGGCGCTCGCAAACACCGCGTGGGCGTACTCGCGCACGGGGCGCGCCTCGCCGCCGCTGCTGCACGCGCTCGCTTCGGAGGCGACGCCGCGGCTGTCCGAGTTCAAGCCGCAGGAGCTCGCTTCGCTCGCTTGGTCCTTCACCGCGTGTTGCCGCTCCGCGTCCGCAGCCTCGTGGTGCTCGGACCGGCACCTCCCTTCCATGGCGGCGCTCTTCCGGGCGCTGTCCGAGGCTGCGCCGCCGCGGCTGGGCGAGTTCGCGCCGCAGGGCCTCGCCAACCTCGCGTGGGCGTACGCCGCGGGCGGGCAGCCCGCGCCGGCGCTCTTCCGCGCGATCGCCGCCGAGGCGACGCCACGGCTGGGAGGCTTCAAGCCGCAGGAGCTCGCCTCGCTCGCTTGGTCCTTCACCAAGGCAAATTGCCGCGAGCCCGAGTTGTTCGCCGCGCTGGCCGTCGGCGCGGCGGCGCGGCTGGGCGAGTTCACGCCGAAGGCGCGCGGGCGAGGCGACGTGGCGCACGTGGGGCGAGATTGCGCGAGATCACCTCAGATTGCGTCCGAGATCAGGCGCTCGGCGAGACCGCGTGGCTCAAAGGGCGCGTCTACGCGAAGCGGCTGGGCGAGTTCGCGCCGCAGGGCCTCGCCAACCTCGCGTGGGCGTACGCCGCGGGCGGGCAGCCCGCGCCGGCGCTCTTCGACGCGCTCGCCGCCGAGGCGACGCCACGGCTCGCCGAGTTCAAGCCGCAGGAGCTCGCCTCGCTCGCTTGGTCCTTTGCGACGGCCGGGCATGCGGCGGCCTCTCCAATCGGGCAACCGCCATGCGTCTGTGAGCGGCGTCACTTCACAGCTGCAGCTGTGAACAGGCGCCGGCGCTCTTCGACGGCCTCGCCTCGCGGCTGTCGGTGCTGGTCGGGGAGCTCTTCACAGCGCAGGGGCTGTCCAACACCGCGTGGGCGTTTGCAGCCGCCGGACGACCGTCCCCGGCGCTGTTTGCGCGACTCGCCGCCGAAGCGACGCCGCGGCTGTCCGAGTTCAAGCCGCAGGAGCTCGCCTCGCTCGCGTGGGCTTTCGCGACGGTCGGCCAGCCCGCGCCGGCTCTCTTTGACGGCCTTGCGGTGGTCGCGGCGCAGCGGCTGACTTTCTTTAAGCCGTTGGAGGTGCCTTTCCCCCCCGACCTCCCCCATATCTCCCCCATATCTCCCCCATATCTCTCCTCCATATCTCCCCCCATATAGGTTGCCAATGTCGCGTGGGCCTTTGCGGCGGCAGACCACCGCACCGCGCCGGCCCTCTTCGACGAGGGCTTCGGCCGGCACGTCGAGAGCTTGGGCGGCGGCTTCAACGACGGCTCGCTCGTCCAGCTGCACCAGTGGGCGTTGTGGCTGGAGCGTGAGTGCGGCCGGGCTGAGGGGCTTCCGAGCGAGCAGCTGCGCGCGCGGTTCCACGCCGCCTTTGCCAGCCGAGGCGGCCGCCCGTCGCGGCTACACAAGGAGGTGCTGAGCGCGCTCGCCTCGCTCCGGCTCGAGCCGGCGGAGCACCTGCAGACCGACGAGGGGTACACGCTCGACCTCGTCGTCGAGTGGCGGGGCGAGAAGGCTGCCGTCGTGGTCGACGCGCCGAGACCCCTCCGAGACACTTCCGAGACACTTCCTGTGCCTGTAGGTTGCCGTCATGGTCGACGCGCCGTGGCACTTTCACAACCGGCAGCCGACCGGCCATACGCTGCTTCGGCGGCGGCAGCTGCGCCACTTCGGCTGGCGCGTGCTGCCGCTGCCCCATTGGGAGTGGAGCACGCTCTACCACTCGGCCGTCGCCGACGACGCGCCGCCGCAGAGAAGGATGCAAACCTACCTGCTGTACGCGCTCGAGCAGCGCGTCATCTGAGAGATTCTCGCCGTGTCAAAACAGATCCTGCCGGCGGAGAAGTAATGAGTAATGTATGCGCAATGCGGCATAGAGGCCGGGCCTTTTTGTTTCTCTGTGAAAGGCGCGACAAACCCGAGAGAGATCGCAGATCCGCCAGAGCCCAGACGCCCCGTCGTCTGGCTCTGGGCAGGTTTTAAACTCTTTTTCGCCTTTCGTTGTGAAACTCTTTTTCTCGCACAGGGAAGTTTCGTGGTAAACTTCTTCTTTCTCGACTCCCAGGCTCCCACGCCGGGGCGGGGACGCGGCGGAGTGGGAGAGTCGTGTGACTGCTCCTGGTGTGTGTGTGTGTGTGTGTGTGTGTGTGTGTGTGTGTGTGTGTGTGTGTCTCACTCACACACTCACTCACACACTCACTGCTCCTGGGGGCGACGGCTTCTGAGGAAGCCGTCGCCCGCGCCTTTTCTGTCGCGTGATCGTGCTGTGCGAAGTTCTTTGTTGTAAAATCAGTGTCCCCTGCCTAAAAGAAAGAAAGAATCGCGGCCCGATGGGGAGGAACGGGGCGAGCCCCCTCCAACCCACCCGCGCTAGGTCTCGGGTTTGACGCATGGGGTCACTCCCGCGAAACCCGTGAACTAGCCGGGGCAGTCGGAGAAGGGGCAACTCCGTGCACTGACGGTCGGCCGTCAGAAAACACGCCTCCGTGGCTCGGGTTACACCAATCCTCGCTACCCAACGCGGCCAAAGGATATCCACCTCGAGAACCTCGAGAGAAAGAATCAACCATCGGTCCGACAAATTCTTTTTCTCGGCGTTCGCTTTCAAGGGTCAAAGTGCATCTCCCTGAAGAGCAGCGCACACACACATGAACATGATGCTGCTCGCGTGGGTGAGCACGCTCACGCTGTCTCTGTTGCCGAATCGAACTTCGCTTGCGTACGACGAGCAGGAGAAGACCGGAAGTGGAGCACTGCGGCAAGCGTTGCCCCATGCTGTTGTCGGCTGCAGCGACCGCTGGCGGCAAGATGGTAGGCAGCACGCTCCTGCCGCAAGCAAGATGAACAAGCGCTTTTGCCCCCGCGACGCGAGCTTTGGCTGCGGCGAGTCTGAGGCATGCTATGTTGAGACGGGTCCATCTCGCGGCGCAAGCTCCAAGCTCGCACAGTCGCATTACGTCATCAGTTCGGTTCGCGAACCATGTGACTGGCTGGTGAGCTTGTTCTTTTGGCGCCGGCCCGATCTGGCTGCTCAGAATATCACCGAAAGCAAGGCGCCGTTTGAATCATGGGTGCGCGCTGAAAAGGAATCAGCTGTGCTCTCAGGGTACGAGGCGGCGCATACCGTCAATAAAACGCTCGAGTTTCACGTCGACTGCTGGGTGTACGTGGGCAGTGATGGGGTCTTTGAGCGCTCGCTGCGCGGCTGCCTCCATGCCTTCGAGTCTCAGGGTGGGCGCGTGAACTGGGAGAGCCACCACCTTTCACCATACCTCAAGGAAGCGAAGGCAGCAGATCCGGCGTGCACCGTCGACAAGAACGCGCCTGGTGCTGGCCATTGCCATGCCCATAGCAAGTGTGCAAGCTTCTACGATGCTGCGCTCGCTAGCTTTGTCGAAGAGCGCGCACGGCCGCTCTACCGCACCTTTGGGTGGAAAGGCTGCTGCCTCGGTCGCTAGTAACCACATAACACGCAACCATCGTGCTGTGAAGGAAGGCCGAGGGGGGTGGGTTCCGAAACGCCAGTTTTGAGTCGCGTTGCAGATCCAATATTCGGCGCCTTTTGAACGTTGACAGTAATTTGTTTTTTTGGTTTGTGGACGGCGGCACCAAACGCAAAACCAAAATTCGCATCTCAATATCTACGGCTTTAGAGATATTAGGCTTTGCGTTTAGCTAGGGGGCCCACAGCGCCCCAAAATCCACCAGTGTGGGATTTCGCGCAATCGCTTGACTCTGAAAAGCTCGCTATGTACCTTTCTGAGCGCTGTGGTCGCCGCAGACTGGCTCCAACTTAGACGGCGGCATGGAGGCATGATGCCTCCATGCTGCCGTCAAGTCGAAATCGACATACAGCTCGATGGTTTGCCCGAAAAGGTACATAGCGGCGTTTTGGGCGACAACAGCGCTGCGACCGCGAAGTGGCGGTGGACATGCTCCCATGTTGCCGACGCGGCGCCGGAGTGGCAGGCGCTGCTCGCCGCGACCACGACGGCTACTCCGCTGCTCCGGGCCGACCCGTCCTACCCGACGGTGGCACTCTTCCACGTCTCGCTCACGCTGAGAAAAATTCTGAAACGGCGTGCAGCATAGTCGCCGACGAGTCGGTCCGCGTGCCTCCCCGTGTCGCGCATCGTTCTCACCCATCCATAAACTCACTTTGGCCTCACTAAAGCGATGCCTCAATCCTGAATCCTCAGATTTTAGATTAGGACGCTGTGGGCCCTCTAGTTTAGCTTTAGGGACGGCCCGCGCCCGCGCCGCGAGGCGCGAGGCCCGAGCCGGCGTCGCCCTAGGGGCGTCGCGGCCTCTTCCGCTTTCCGCCTGGCTCCCGGTCGCAACCTCTTTCCGCTTTTGGAGCTGGGCCCTCAGCACGAGCACGAGTCTGGCGCGAACACAATGCGCCTCGCTGGATACCTGGGTTGCTCACTTCACGTCTCCTCCTGATCGCTGGCGATCTGGGCGGACGCGGAGCGGCAAACACTCGCACCGGCACACGACGTGTCGCCACAAGCCAAGCAAGACGGCGAGAGAACGGGCAACGACGTATGCCGCGGCGGAGAAAGGCATGGACACAAGCAGTGCAACGGCATAATGGCCGCACAGATCCAGACGGCCGACTTCGTAACGGAGACTACAAAAAGGACACTACAAAAAAGCCCGGAACACAAACTCAAGCGGCTCACCTGCAGATTCGTAAAAAATGATCCTTCACCACCGTCATAGACGGCAGGCAGCTTGCCGCAGTCCGCCCAAGCGACTACGTCGCCTCCGACTTTGTCTCCCTCGCGGCGCAGCTGGGCAGGCCGTCGCACCCGCCTCGGCGCGAGCAGGCATTCCTGCTCGCCCTGCCTGACTTGGCGAAGCCACACTTGAAGGCGGTGGCGGCCACGGCGGGAAGGACGCTGTGAATGAATAGGCGTCCCCCGGTTGAGAACAAGTTTTTTTCGGTGAGACTTGTTCACACCGTCTGCCTTGCTCCTTTAGGTGCTTTTAATACGTTATGATTCGTTTGCTGATACTTGCGTCAGAGACTGCTTGAGTGGGCGCGGGTTTTCTTTTGTGTCGGCGTCTCCTCGCAGGATGCACGCTGCCCAGCGTCTTTGACGCTGGGCTGCACCGCGGTTGGATATATATACACATATTTGCCCGAGTTACGTCGTGGCCTTGGCTATGCGGTGCAATTCAGGAGGGGGCCTCGTGCGGTGCAGGACGGGGTCTTGCCGCGTATTCCTGCTTCTCGCCGCCCTTCTGCCGCTGGCGCGTTCAACTGTGTCGCCGAGCCGGCCCCACACGACCGCGCAAGCGCCACGGTGCTGGTGCTTTGACCTGTGCAGCGATACCACCGCGAATATCTACTGGGCTGCCTCACGCGGCGTGCACCTGCACGATGGATCCCCGTGGCTCGACTACTTCGCAGCGGTGTACTCTGATGCCGAGCTCCCGCGTCCCTTTCCGCTGCATCGGTTCAATTACTTCTACCACGGCGTTCGGTTGTGGCACGCGCTTTTTCCGGCCGTGCACAACCCCTTCCGGCCGTGCGACCTGCCAGCGCCAACAGAGCGGCCGGGAACGCCAGAGTGCACGCCGAGTGTGTGCGCCGCCTGGCGCGCGCCTCTCTCACAGCCCGGCCGGGGTGACGTGACGATTTCTTCCAAGGTGCAGGTCGCCACAGGCCTAATGGAGGGCATGACCATGCAAAAGCGTCTCGTCCACGGCATCCCTGGCTTCCACGGCCTACCGGCAACACGGATAGTGGATACCGGCCAGATGGAGCGCTGGCGGGCCTTGGGGCTGCCAATGGCGGACGGAGGTGGGGACGGCGGCGGCTGGGTGGAAGTGCACAGGACCAACGTTTACGACCGGGGAATGGTTGAAGCGGTGATTGAGGAAGGCAAGAGTTGGCCGGAGGGCCTTCGGCAGCAGCGATTCGACAGCTCCTTGAAGCGGTGGGACAATGAGACGAAAAGGAGACACGAGTTGAACTCAAACTGCTTCTTCTCCGCCGTTGTCGGCAGTGGTGTGTGGGTGCAAGTTGGAAGCGGCTACGGGTTCCAAGGGAAGGTGCCCGCCGTGTGGCACACACCACACGAGCCACACATATCTGGACGGGCGCGAGCCTCCAAGGGCAAAAATTGGAGCTACCTTGGCGGCGCTGCTCAAATCTCCACCCATCTCAACTTGCGCGGCGGCACGAGTCTTGACGTCATGCTGTCTGCACCGCCTTGCGCAAAGCGCAGGGTCGTGCTGGGCACCTGCCCGCCGGCCCAGCTGTTGCGCACTGGCTGGCGTGCACAGCGGCCTTGCGCTTGCACGGAAACTTGGGATTTCCTCAACTGTGCCGGTGGCCGCGCCCAATCCCAATCCTCGCCGCAAACGCAAAGGCTTGACGCAAAAGCTTCGCAGACACCGCCGCACGCGTGCAGAGCGGCCAACCTTCGTGGGCAGCAGCGGATAACTCACAGATTTGCAACGGGCCGCCCAAGCAGCGACTTGCAAGCGGCTGGCGTGGTGATGCGGGCCTTTGATGAAACGGTGAAGCCGACTACAGCCCAGCAGCAGCCGTGGGCAACCTTCACCCGAAGAAAGGGGGCGGAATGGCACATGAGTTCAGCGAGCATCGTCAACCACCGGCTGCCGTATTTGTTCTTGGGCGACGTCGGCCATGAGCAAAGTCCGGATCTCGCTTGGGAAGGCCACGCGGGATTCATCATCGCGCCTGAAGCGGCTCAGGCTTCCTTGGTCTGCATGTATCCCAAAGACGGGAGCTCCATGCAACTGCGTTGCTACGGACGGCACGATGCGTCTGGCCCCGATTCGTGCGTCCCCGGGTGCGTCAAACCCAAGAAGCGAGGGTGGTGCCCGCACGGGACCTCTGGAATTGCGCCGCACAGGAATTGCGCCACAGCGCCCACAGGCCTGCGCCATATGATGCAACTGCAGGAGGAGTACACAATGGCGTTTCTCAATGATTCCTCACATCGAGACTGTGCGCGAGGCTGCTGCGTGTACCCCAGATGCCAGCTCTATAACGAGCTTGTCCTCAACTCAACAGCTCTGCTCGAGCACTTGCCCGGTGCTGTCGAGGCGGTGTATTTCGTTGACGCAGGGTACGCCTCCAATGAAAGGCGACAAGCTTCGGGCGAAACAATGGCACGCGCCTGGCATCGCTCCCTCATTGCGCATCTTCAGCGGTCGAACGCCACAGATCCATGCCGGCCGCTCCTGAAAGTGGGCTTCGGGGAGGGGGAGCCTTTCCGTCTTGTCAGCCCGTACCGCGTGTCCACTCTTTAGTCGGCTTGTGCACGCACAGTTTCCGTTGTATGTGCACTCCTATATAAAGCGCTGGAAGCTGCGTGCACTGCCACCGGCGACTGGGACCACTGAAGTAGTGTTGAGTGTTGTCATCAACAGCTGTACGTACTTTAATGTTTAAAGCCGTACGCTACACCCTACACCGTCCGTAGACCGTACGGCTCTACGGGGGAAGGACCGTGAGTTGAGGAAATCGGAGGACGCGACCCACTTCGCCACAGACGGTCCCGCGCCTCGCCGCTATGAGTATGACGGGGACACACCCCGCACCGTCCGCTGTGTCCCCGTCTTTGTCCGGAGTGAAAAGTCCAACGCTCGTCGGTGACGGTGTCCTCCAACCTGCGCCATGCGACTCCCTCAAGGCCGGCCGAGCCTCTTTCCACCCAGTGAAGAGCTTCCTCAGCCACTCGATGTGTTCCTCTCTCTTCATTATGCGCGCCGTAGCCTCATCATTGAGCTGGATCCACCTCTGCACCGCGGCATGGAGGCATCACGGAGTGGAGACGTTATGTGCGCAGGGGGGGGGGGTACCGAGCGGTGTGCGGCCGCTCCCGCATACTCTACAAAAATTGCTTTTTATCCTGCGAAAGACACTCTACTCTCCCCTCTCGTCGCGTGTCCCCCTTGGCGTGGCGCGCCTCTCCCCCAGCTCTCGGTATCGCGTATTGCACGAGGCTACCGTGGGCCCCGCCTGCGCGCTGGGGGTTCCCTGCCCTGTCGGGAAGCCTAGCTCTTAACCTGGGGTCGCTAACCAATGCGGGGCTCCTGGACGGGCGATGAAGTTCGCCTTGAATCTCTCGTCTCGCTTTCCCCCCGACTCGCGTCCGTCGGCGTCGCCCGTCGGGGGTACTCCCAGCCTGTCTTGGCTCTCTGATCCCCCCCCCTCCCCCCCTCGACCCCCCCCCTAAAGGCTAAATCCGTACTTTAGCTCCTTCGACCTTCCCTCTCCGGGAAGGGAATAAATAACTTCTACAACGTTTCATCCTCGCTCTACGCGTCGCGCGTGTACTTGCTCACAAGACCGCACTAGTTGAAACCGGCGCGTACTAAGCTGGAGGTATCCATGTTCAAGATTGCAATTTCCGGTGCGAGTTATCCGATCCCCGCGACGGTGTTTCCGGCCCGAGCCAGTGCCGCCGCCGGCTGCGATGATCGGGCGTGGTGGTGTTCAAGATCCACAGGTCGTATTCGGCGAACTTCATCTTGGCGAGCGACGCGGAGCCCTTGTACATGAGCTTCTGAGGGTCGGTGGTTCACCGTCTGCCAAGGATCTATTTCCCCTTAATCCGTCGGTGGGTCTCACTGTCCAAGCCCGTCTGGGATGAGGGACACATCGCAAAGGTGTGAAATGACCTTGGGTTCTTGATGACGAGTTGCATGTGCTCCATCTGCAGCGAGAGCCGGCAGAGCGACCGTTCGAGGCGCTCGAGGTCGGCGACGTGGCCGGCGTTGCGGAGATCGCGAATGTGCATGTCGCGCTTTTTGATCTCCCTGTGCTGGAAGTCGATCTTTTGCTCCAGATTCCGAATATGAAGCTGCAGAGCCTGCAGGAGAGAGAGAGATTTTTATTAACCAACAAGAAATCACGACTCTCACAGTGATTTGGGCTCGGCAGCTTGTTAGCCCTCAGCCGAAGCTGGGGCCGGTCCCGTAGCCGAGAGAGCCCGCGCCGTGAGTTCGACGCGGTCGGGAGGCCTTGCGGAGAGGCCAGCGAGGTGGCGATCGCTGTACTTCATGGTCGTCATCAAGTGACCGGCTGACAAGCCAGAGGTCGATACTCTGGACGACCCATAGGATGCCACGAATGCCTGAAGGAGAGGGAGGCGAGGCCAGAGGCAGGCTCAGCTGCTCTCGGGTGATCCCGCTTTGGAGGCTGAAGGACCCGATGGTCCTGTCACATTCGCGTTCCGAGTCGTGGGGGTAGAAGAATTCGAGTAGAAATCGAGTCAGCACTTCCTTGTAGTACAGCGGACCGCCAGGCTCGCCGGCAGCATCCGCAGGGAGGCAGCATATGAGGCACCAGTTTTCTGGAGAGCTCAACAGCTGCGGCCGCGATGTCAGAGTCGGCCGCGGTTCGAGCGAGCAGCTTTTGGCTGCGGGTTCGAATCGCGGAAGGCACATGCCCTCGCGGAGCGACGCGGGTCGCGCGGCGTGCGTGTGTGCGAAATGCGACAAAAGACGAAAGACGACAGGCGCCTGAGCGCTGTACGCCTGAACTTTTGTCGCCGCAATCGCCACCGCCGCCATCTTGACGAGCAGCGCGAGCGCGCTCGTCGGCGGCCAGCCGTCGCGGGCCGGGCCGAGCCCGGCCTCAACCGGCCGCGCCGCCGCAGCAGGCCCGGAGGCCCACATGGCGGCCGACCAGCTGTCCTGCAGGTCGCTCGAGGCTGCCATGCTGGTGGACCAACTGCCGGAGTTGGACGCAAGAAGAAAACGCCCCGATTCCTCCCTCGGGTTATCGGCTCCTATAACGGGGTCTTTTCATCGCAGCGCAAATCTATCGCGGCGCACTCGCCATCTGTGAGCCTAGCGCAGCGCGAACTCGCCGTCTGAGCCTAGCGCAGCGCGAACTCGCTCTGAGCCTACGCAGCGCCTCGGAAAACACCAAAAGCCCTCCGCGCCCCGCGATAATACTTTTTTTCAGCGGCTGAAAGTTCTGCATCGAGTCGTCATGAGAAGAGTTCGCACGCTAGAACCGGGGAGCGGCTCGCTGACGGCGTGGCACTGCGACGGAAGACACTGCTGGGGGCCATTCCCAATCAACCAGACGCAGCACTGCCCGGCGCAGCCGTCCGGGCTTGCTATCTCGTACGAGATGGCCTTCGCCCTCGTTTGCGTCACAATGCTACTCATCCTAGCGGCGGCACGGACCTTCAGGAAGTTGAAGAAAGCGGAGGCGCGGGCCGCGGCGTGGATGGAAGCAGCAAGGGCAGCGGAGTCGTGTGCGGCGGGATGCAAGGCGGCGGCGGCGGCGGCTACGTCTGCTGCTGCTGAAGCTGTGGTGGCCGAGGCGAATGCGGTGGCGGAGCTGGAGACGGAGAGCTCGGAGGCTGCGGAGGCGGAGGTAGTGGCGGAGGCAGTGGCGGGGGCAGAGGAGGCGTCGTCGGGCACAGTGACCGAGTTGAGCCCAGCGGCCTCTCTCCTCAAGCTCCCGGTATTAGAGAGCGACGCCGCGGCAGAGGCGGGGAAGAAGGCGCAAGCGGAGGCCGAGGCGGCGACAGCGGCGGCCGCGGAGGCTGCGACTGCCGCGGCAAGGGCGGCGGAGGAGGCTGAGGCGGCGGCAGAGGCAGAGGCGGCGCGGGTAGCAATGGGCCAACGCCTGCTGGCGGCGGCTGCGCGGAAGCAAGCTGCAGCGCGGGCTGCGGCTGCGGCGGCAAAGAAGGAGGCCGAGGCGGCGGCGGGGGCAAGGCCGGGAGGGGAAGCTGAGGAGGCTGGTGGCGCCAGCCAGTCGGACTCAGCGACCGAATCGGGCTCAGCAACCGAGTCGGGCTCAGCGACCGAGTCGGGCTCAGCGACCGAGTCGGGCTCAGCAACCTCGTGCGCCGAGCCGGCGCTCGAGGAGCAAGGAGGCGAGGCGGGTGTGGCCGACGAGGCGAGGGCGGAGGAGCCCCTGGCGCTGCGCATCCAGAGGCTGCTGCAGAGGTCCAGCGACGAACCGCTTCAGAGCCCCGCGACTAAGGAGGAGGAGGCAGCAGAGCCTGCTGTCATGCTAAGCCCGGCCTTCACGAGGACACGGCTCGCCGAGGCTCTGCGGGACTCCGAGGAGGAGCCGGCAGTGCGCGTGGTGGTTCTTGACGCCGGATCCGGCGTCAGTAAGGCTGGCTTCGGCGGAGAGCAAGCGCCGCGCGCGGTGTTCCCGTCAATCGTGGGCCGGCCGCGCCAGCCGGGAGTGATGGGGAGCAGAACGTGCGTCGGGGACGAGGCGCAGTCGAGGCGCGGCATCCTGACGCTCACGTACCCGATCGAGCACGGCGTTGTTACAAACTGGGACGACATGTCGGAGATCTGGGCCCACACCTTCTACAATGAGCTCCGCGTCGCGCCGGAGGCACAGAACTACACACACACACACACACACACACACACGCACACACACACACACACACACACACACACACACACACACACACACACACACACACACACACACACACACACACACACACACACACACACACACACACACACACACACACACACACACACACACACACACACACACACACACACACACACACACACACACACACACACACACACACACACTTCAACATATTACCGTGTACCATACCTGTGTGCCATACCTAGGAGCACCCCGTCCTGCTGACCGAGGCGCCGCTCAACCCCAAGGCCAACCGCGAGAAGATGGCACGGGTCCTGTTTGAGATCTTCAACGCGCCCGCCATACACATCGCCACCCCGGCCGCGCTCGCGCTGTACGCGACGGGCCGGTATACGGGCCTCGTGATGGACTCGGGCGACGGCATCTCGCACGCCGTGCCCATCTATGATGGCAACGTGCTGGGGCACGCGATCCTGCGGCTCGACCTCGCCGGCCGAGACCTGACCGACTGGATGGCCACGCTGCTCGCCGAGGTTGCCGCTCGCCACTCCTTCGCCACCCCTGCCGAGCGCGAGATCGTGCGCGACATCAAGGAGAAGCTGGCGTACGTGGCGCTCGACTTTGACGCTGAGATGCAGAACGCCGCCTCGTCCTCGGCGCTCGAGAAGTCGTACGAGCTGCCCGACAGCCAGATCATCACCATCGGCCACGAGCGCTTCCGCTGCCCCGAGGCGCTCTTCCAGCCCTCCTTCCTGGGGATGGAGTCGCCGGGTGTGCACGAGATTGTTCACGACTCGATCGCCAAGTGCGACGTCGACATCCGCAAGGACCTCTACGCCAACGTCGTCCTCTCGGGCGGCTCGACCATGTTTGCCGGCTTCGCCGACCGCATGTCCAAGGAGATCGCCGCCCTCGCGCCCGCGTCGATGACGGTCAAGATCATCGCGCCGCCGGAGCGCAAGTACTCGGTCTGGATCGGCGGCTCGATCCTCTCGTCGCTTCCCGCCTTCCGGCAGTCGTGGATCTCGAGGCAGGAGTACGACGAGTCGGGCCCGTCCATTGTGCACCGCAAGTGCTTCTCTTCCTAACACGAAACAGACTTCATGTCACGCTTGAGTCCCGACGAGACTGTCTCTTGCATCGCGCATAGCTGGAACGCGTGTTCAGATTGCGCGATGCACACATACACATTCACCGGATCAAGATCACGAGTCAACGCTCGGAGCGTACGTTCGCGAATCTTTGTGAGGGGGGGAGGGGGGGTGGACAAACTGTGGGGGGGTGGTGGACATCTGTGAACGGCGCTCAGTAACGCAAAGAAACACGTCGTGAGGTCAGCATTCCTGCACGTCGCTCCATGCAGCAGCTCGCCGACGCCCTCCAGGCCCTGCTCTGCTGCTTCTCCTGCTGCCCAGCGTCGCAAGGGGGAGACGAGAGGCCGGCCCGGAAGGCGCACGACGACGTGCCGCCGGCGGTCGACAGCGAGTCTGCAAAATATTTATCGGACAACGTGGCGTACGTGGACAGCGAGGAGCCGTCCGATCGCGACGTTGCGGTGGAGCTGGCGGCCGCCCACCGCGCGGCGGCCGCGGAGACGGCGGCGGCAGAAGATGCCGCGGCCGTCGAGGCGGCGAGGGCGGCGGCCGCCGCCAAGAAGGAGATCAAGGAGGCGGCACGGGCTGCGGAGGAGGGGGCGCAGAAGAAGGCTGAGCAGGCGGCGCGTCAGGCTGCGATTACCGCGGCGGCGCGCAAGGCGCAGGAGGAGGCCGAGGCGGCGAGAGCGGCGGCCGCGGCTGAGGCGGCAAGGGCGGCGGCCGTGGAGGCCGAGGAGGCGGCTGCGCGCCTGGCTGCGATGGAGGCTGAGGCGGCTCGCAGGGCGGCGGAGGCAGCTCAGGCGGCAAAGGCGCAGGCGGAGGCCGAGGCGGAGGCGGAAGCAGAGGCGGCTCGGGCAGCGGCGGCGGCTGCGACGAGGGAGGCCGAGGAGGAGGCAGAGGCCGAGGCGGCCCGGGCAGCGGCGGCGGCTGCGAAGGAGGAGGCTGAGAAGGAGGTGGAGGCGGTGGTGTCTGCTGCGCAGTTGGCGGCTGCGGCGGCAACTAAGGAGGCGGAGGCGGAGGCGGCAAAGGGGGATACCGAGGCGGCTGACTCGGTGGCTGCCCCCGCTGCGGCCGGAGCGGAGGCGGACAAGAAGAAGGGCAAGAAGAAGGGCAAGAAGAAGAAGTAGGGCGAGATTCATGCCGGCGGCCGGCTGCGCGCTTAAGCGCGCACTCTGGTGTAGCGGCCTGGTGGGAGCGGACGCGCGGGAGAGCGACCTGGGGAGAGGGGGCACGAGCGACAGCGGGGAAGGGTATACACAGCGGGCCGGCGAGGCGTGTGCGATCCGCCGCAGTCCGCACAATCATGCATGCTCTTCAGAGCACATCTGTCAAGATCGGCAACTCGTGATTCGAGAGAGATAACACACAAAATTAATCATAAAGCGAGCTTGGTCGTTGACTGGCCGGTTGGTGCACATACATTTACACACCATGCCGTTGCCGACATGCACATGGATCATGGTGGTTGTCTATTCCACTCTTGAGTCTTGTCAACCCTCAACGCAGCTCGCAGGTTACGCACAAACGATTAGTTCGCTTGGCGCTGTCTCGCGTCCACATTTGCTTGATGGCGTCGCTATGACCACCTCCGAAGTGGGGGTGGACGTACGCCAGACTCGAGGGCTTCAGCCACATACAGCTACCATGGCGCATGGGAACGCGGCCCACACGAAGCGTCCAAAACTGAAAGAATTCCGTCTGTATCGACCCAAAACATATTGTTGAGGGGCAAAAGAGCTGAATTCGAGAAGCTCTAGTCTTCTAACGTCGGGAATATTCAAGAATATCTTGAGACGCTCGAGGTCAGCCAAGGTCAAGAGCATAGAGCTGAAGAAAGATCGTATATTCTTGAGAAAAAGCCGGCCGGGGCGTCTATATTCTCGAGAATTCGAATACGAAAGTGCGCTGGCTATCTGTATTCTCAAGGATATTCGAGAATATGGTGCAAAGGGCAAGTCCCCCCGAGCATCCGGCCGGCTGGGTGCGCTTCATTCCTTCATAGCTCCCCGGCCCTGGATGTGAAGCTACCGACTGCACTCCAAGTGCTCCAAGATCAGGGTCGTTGCGTGCTAGGTTGTGTGCCTTCACTCCTTTTTGCGCACTCGTTTCTTTTTTCGCTTCGGCGAGGCCCGGCCGGCGCCTCTCACGGCCGCAACACTAAAAATCTCGCAACACTAAAAGGCGGGGACCTGTCGCTCCTCCTCCTGGATGCCGTTCTCCTTCTTCTAAGATTTCCTCGCACGGAATCGAATGATGCCTATTCAGTCACCATCTTCAAAAAAAACACTTTGGCTCTCCGGCGTCCCTATGCATGCGCACGCGAAGTAGACACGCGGAGGGGCCGAGAGCCCAAACCCTCCGATCCGGAGCAGGCCGAGGTGTGCCTGGCCGCGCTCCGCAAGCGATCTCTACTCACGTGATGCCGCTCGCCTTCCCTGCGACCCCGTCTTGCGTGTCTGACTGTCACTGTGCGATTTCGCCCGGGGTTGTGCGTTTATGTGAAAGGGCCTCCATGCAGGGCTCGCACCTCAACCTCTCATAGACCAAAAAAGAAAGAGAGCACGGCACAAGCAAGAGAGGATGGGAGGACGGCATACCGCCACTCTCGTAGACCAGTGCATAGCGCCCCATAAGACGTCTTTTCTTCTCAATATAACAGGTCTGTGCGCCATACGAGGTATTTCCTTCTGAATAACAAGGCTGTGAAGACCCACGAAACCGAGACCCCTCCCCACCGCCCTGATCCCCCCACCCCCTTGCTTCCCTCCCCCCCTCGAAGGGCCGAAGAGAGGCGCCCGTGGGGACCCCGCAATTCCCTTCCCCCCTCGGAGGGGGTCGGACGGAGGCGTACCCCGAGGGCCCCGCTCTTTCCTTCGCATAGCGGCCACTCTTCGGATCGCTGGTCGAGCGACCCGGGGGATGCCCCGCGCGCCTGACCCAGGCGCGAAAACGAATCTGCGAGGCGCGGCCGCTTATGCGGCCCGATGGGGAGGGGCGGGGCGGACTACGGGGATCGGCTTCTTACACCGCCCTCCCTTGCAGCGAGCCCCCTCCAACCCACCCGCGCTAGGTCCCGGGGGACGCAGGGGTCAGCCCCGCGCGACCTCGGAAACTACTCGAGTAGCCGGGGCAGTCGGAGAAGGGGCAACTCCGTGCACTGACGGTCGGCCGTCAGAAACCACGCCTGCGTGGATCGCGCCACACCAATGCTCGCTACCCAACGCGGCCAAAGCATATCCACCTCGAGAACCTCGAGAGAGCGCTGTGAACAGCGCCACGAGCACGCATATTTTGCCCCCCTCCCCCTTCCTTCTCAATAACAAGGCTGTGAACAGCGCCACGAGCGACGGTCAGTAATGTGGGGTCGAACCACTCTCCTTTCCATTCTCGTCTCTGGCGGCGACCTCGACCTGGTCGTTGCTGGGCTCTCCACGGAAGCCCCGGCGCCGCAGTGCTGGTGTTTCGACCTCTGCAGCTCTTCAAACGCAAACGCCTACTGGGCGGCCTCGCGCGGCGTGCACGTGCACAATCGGTCAAGTCCGTGGCTGCGCTATTTTGCTGCCGTGTACTCGGATGCTCAGGTCCCTTTTCCGTTCCCGCTGCATCGTGTAAACTATTTCTACCACGGCGTCCGGCAGTGGTACGGGCTCTTCAGCGCCGTGCACAACCCCTTCAGGCCGTGCGACCTGCCAGCGCCAAGCGAGCGGTCATCAGTGCCTCCGTGCGCTCAGAGTGTCTGCACAGCCTGGCACGCGCCCCTGTCGCCGTCCGGGGTAGCGGCGAGTCGTGCTCACCACAAGGCGTCAAAGGTCGTCACCGTTGCCAAGGACCTGATGATTGGCATGAGTGCCGAGTACCGCCGCGCACAAGGACTGCCTGACTTCCGCGGCCTGCCGGCAACACGACTGGAGAATCACGACGAGCTCGATCGCTGGGTTAGGTCGGGGGTCCCCCTGGCTGACGGTGGGCCCGGGGGCGGAGGTGGCTGGGTGGAAGTGCACCGGGCCAACGCTTTTGACCGAGGGATGTTCCAAGAGATGATCGAGGAAGGGGTGGAGACCACTCACAATCACGGACAGCACTTCAAAACCTTTTGGAATGGCAAGGAGAGAAGGTACGAGTCTTATACGGGGTGCTTCCATTCCGCCGTTGTGGGCAGCGGCACGTTTGTTTATGTCGGAGAAGCCTACACGGCCGCTAATACCAAGTGGCTCACATCCACGCCAAACAACAGCAGCATCGAATTGTTCGGCGGCTCGACCGCCGGCGCGCCCACCCTCGCCTCCTGCGCGCCTCACACTCAGTTTTCACCTCGCGCGCGGCCGACAAAGTGAGCTCACGACCACCTCCCCCTCGCTCCTGTAGGTAGGCCGCCCCGCGCTGGCGGGAAGAGGCGCGCCGAGCCATCGGTGACGTCCTGGCGAGCTCATGTCCCCCCAAAAGGTCGCACCCGCCCGTGGCTCCGCCGTCGGCTCCGCCGCGAGCGGCGACGGTGAGGCCGCCGGGGCTCGCCTATACCGGCTAGTGTGGAGCCCTCAGTGTAGTTGCGTGTTGTACTAGTGATGCTGCACTAGGCGGCCCGTTTTTAGCAAAAACCAGATACCACATCGCGTGTGGTCGTCGCAAAACCGCATCTTCGCTAGAGCTGTCAAACGTTAAGAGCTGAACAGTGTTGCTAGTGTTAACAGTAACAACAGAACAACAGTTGGGCTCCCCAACAACAGTAGCTAACGTTAGGCCGGCTGAACAACAATAAGGAAGGCCTGGCAGTGACCCACGACGATCTCCAGCGTCCAGTGCGGGTAATACCCGAAAATACCTGGAAAATCCCGGGTATTCTCGGGTTTTACCCGGGTTTTTTGCCGTTTTCTGCTTGCTGGCCGCTGAACAACAGTAACAACAGTAACAAACAGTAACAGCATGGGCTGGGATGAACACTTGAACAACGTTAAGGATTTCAGCCAACAATAGTGCAACTGTTAGGCCCAAAGTTA